GACGTATTTCAGATCATGTGAAGAAAAGAATGATGGAACAAACTGTTCTGGAGATTTCAAACGAGGCAACTTTTTCCCGACATGACGCCCGGGGGAATTAACGAGACTGTCGCGAATAATGTACTCACCGGCTGGTCCTTTGTTCTCAGCCTCGTGTCCTTTGTTCGCTCCAATGGCGTCGAAGTATGGTGACGAATCGTGATCAACCTGCGATCGGAGATTAGTCATTTTGCGAAGTTCCGCTAGTGAAATGTCAGAGATTTGGTGATCAGAAGACGATGTGCCCTGTTGGCGCGTGGATGATAGGCCTGTGGTTGGTGGATGTGCGTTCAAGGAACAACTTTTGAATTCCGTTTCTAGCTGGGAGATTTCCGCCTGTAATTTTTGCTTCGCGATTCTCGCCAACAAGGATTGTTTCCGGCGCTGCAAAATAGCTAACTCGGCTTGGTCGTCTTCATCCCCGTCTGAAAACTCGTCAAAATATCCATGTGGTTCCGCGTGTGAGACTGTGGGCGAGTGACGTCGGTGGACGGCAGTTGAGCTGTTCGGTGAACGGCAATTCTCTTCCTCCGGCGGTGGACTGGTGCAGAATTTTCCGTGCTTGCCCCAGTTGTGAGCTTCCACATCGAGCTTGCAGCCAGAGCATGTTGAGCGCCGCTTACTTCTTGGCATAGCGAAGTGAAAATAACCCGAACAGAAATGACTGGGCACGAACAGCGTGCGATGTAAACAGTGCATGTAAACAGAACGAAGCGAATTGGCTACAAGAAACATGCGCAGTGGAGAAATTAAACAAACAAACGAAGTTATGCAAATGAAAAGTATGCAAATGAATAATTAACAATTTTGAACTGCGTACAAAATACAACCATTAGCCACCATTTTAAACTCGTGATTTTCACTGGTCGCGGCACGTTTCGACCGAAAATAACAACATTTATACATCGAAAGCCCAACCAGATGAGTGTAATCGCTAGCGTACATATTCATGCCCCCGTGGATATGTATTTGGAACCACAGCTTGATCTCCAAACATCGTAAATGGCATATTTCACGCCACGATGTTAGCTGCTTGGTTCGGATTAGCATACTAATACGGTGGCCATCTTGACCCTTATTTATAGTATCGGTTCCCCTTTAATAACATGCCAAATAAGGAGTGCTAGACAGTCGTGATGACATTTGACATGGCGCACATGAAAGTGTGAAAATGGTTCAGGCTTAAACAATACATTAGAAAAATACATATAGGTGTTGGAATGTGGAGATTAAAGTAATATTGCATGGTGAAAGTTAACACGTACTGACATACACAATTGAATGTAATTGTCAGGTCATACGTACATGCGGATAGCACACCAGATTGGTGACAGATGAGCCATTCAGTCCTGGTTGTGAACTCAAGTACTGCTATGCACTTTGACAGGCTTCATAATGATTCACCCCACGCATGGTGCCGGTAAATCACTTCAAAAACTTAAACGAAGTCGCTTACAGGCAGAGAGTTTTAGAACATGTCACGCGACTTAGTTTTATTACAATCTGAGAAAATGTATATTTGTCGTGAAAATATGGTAAACCACACCAGTGCCGATAATTTCGCATAATTATTTAAATAATTTATGTTCACTCTGTTATATTTTCTGTGCACCATTTTTACGGGCAAATATTGTTTGCGAGTAATTCTCGTATCCAGTATAGAAAGTGACATCCTGTGATATGTATCACCGAGCACAGCCACTGGTACATGGCGTTTTTATTTTGAAACAATTTTTTGCCAGACTGTGAATACTCTTTTAAAAATAATCAAACTACATCGTAAAATTGTTCACTATTCTCTGTCCTAAGAGTCATTCCTTCCTGCATACAACTGCCTCGAACTGTTTCCACGACAAATATAGACGCATTTCTTGATACTATTTTCCCTCGGTTCAAATATTTAATTCATAATGGAAATCAGTACTAGTGAATAGACATACATACAGACAGTACAATATCCATGTATCCACGATATATTTCTACTGAATCAGTGACGTTAACCGATAGAGTCTAGGGATATTTTCCAAACTTGAGATGCTACCACCACAACAAACATTTGAGATGCTACCACCACAACAAACATTTGAGATGCTACCACCACAACAAACATTTGAGATGCTACCACCACAACAAACATTTGAGATGCTACCACCACAACAAACATTTGAGATGCTATCACCACAACAAACATTTGAGATGCTACCACCACAACAAACATTTGAGATGCTACCATCACAACAAACATTTGAGATGCTACCACCACAACAAACATTTGAGATGCTACCATCACAACAAACATTTGAGATGCTACCATC